CTCTGGAAAGAGTCCCACCTCCTATTTGCATGGCTTTGCACCCTGCCTCAGTTTCCCCACTTGGGCCAGAGTCCCTGGTACCTTCAGGTTGTGAGCGGTCTTGGGGCACAGGTCGGAGCAACCTGGCAGGCAAGCTCATGAGATGTTGGCTTTCTAACACTGACTTCCTTATGGGCCTGGTCTTTTGGGGGGGGCAGAACGCTAAGCTGTCCTGGGAAGGAACCCAGCTCCACCCAGGGCCCAGGCCCCACCAGTTGTCTTCTCTGCCAAAAACAAGCTTGCACTGGGCAGCTGCTGGTCCAGGGGCCTGCTTCTGGGCCAGCAGACCCAATAGCTGCAAACCTCTTCCTAATCTTTCCTGACTGTTCCCCTGCCATTCAGACAGGGAACAGCCTGGCTGCCACTCACCTGGCTTCCATCGTTCTGCCCAGGTTCAGGAAGAGCACCCACCAGACCAGCCGGCCCGGCCTCTACAGACAGAGGGCTGGCAGGGACTCGGCGGTGGAGTAAGGGCAGTGGGGACAGGGGATTCCTATAAAAACAAAAATTGGAGCCAGACCCCTCAGTGTCTCTAAGGCACAACTCATGCTGGGGCTCCTTTACTGGATGGGGCTGATCCAGCTCCTCCTAGTCTAGGACCAGGCTTCCTTTCCCAAGGAGCCATCCACTCCTACATTTTTTCAACTGCCCCTTTCTGTGGAAGGGGTGGAGCCCACTGACCAGAAAAGGAGACCAGGAGAATCCAGTGCATTGGGAGAGGGGACCCTCCATGGCAGGCAGGTCTCACATCCTGAGAAGCACCTCTAAGGTGCCAAGTCCAACTCAAAAAGCTCACAAGTGTTTTCCTTGCCCCTATCTTCGGCCTCTGTGATGGGGAGCTTTTGTTACGGTCACTAACGTGGTCTTGGCTTTTCTATCCCAAACAGAACCTAGCCCACCCCTGCACATAAAGAACCATGGTGAGTGCTGAGCTTGCTGCAGGCTGCCGCCCGCAGGGCCGGCCTCCACGCAGGGGGGCCGCCAGCCTGGGGGAGCCCCCGGAGCCCCGCCCCGCTGCTCGGTCCTGGCAAGCCAATGGGATTCTATTTGTCCTTTTTTTTTGTACCCCACAAACTTAAAAACTTTTAATCACATGTTAATTTTTTTGTAAATAGTCTTACTCAAGCTAGGACTGAGAGAGTGGAAACCCATTATTTCTCCCTAAGTTAAAAACCAGTGGGGTGCCCTGCGTCCTACCACCCTTCACCCAGAGGCTGGGGCTATAGAGCCACGTCCGGGCTGACGGCAGCTCCATTCTCAGGCAGACGCTCCTGTGCCTATGGCCCAGCCCGCAGGAGGTCACCTCCTTGGCCCTGAGCCTGCTTGAGCCTCTGAGGCCAGGGACTGCCTGCTCCAGCCACCCACTCTCTTGTCAACCTTCCAATTCCAAGGCCATTGTGAAGAAACATAAAACACCTAAAACGCTACTGAGTCTGCAGGCAGGGCACCTGGCCTGTTCTGCTCAAACCCAGGACCCTCAAGGGATGCGGGCCTCTCCCTGGCTGGGTGGATGCTGCACTCGACCAGTGGCAGCTCAGATCTCCGACTCCCGCCGGTAGGGCCGCTGCGCCAGGGCGCCGCCGCAAGTCTGGGGTCTGGGGAAGTCGTGTCCAGCCGGAGGGCGGCTGCTGTCTTGGTCGTCATCCGTTTCGTCCCCCTCGTCAGGACTCATGAAGGCCAGCTCATTCTCATAGCAAAAGGAGTTGGTGCTGGGCAGCAGGAACTTGCTCTCCACCAGGTCCTTGGCACTGCAGCGGGGGGTGGAGGGCACCTCGTAGGTCTTGTGGAAGTGTGAGTAGTCAATCTTGTACTGGTTCTTCTCCTCAAAGAGGACAGGCTCGAAGCGGTGGCCCCACAAGATCTCGTTGGCCAGGTAGGAGCTACGGGCTTGTGTGGTCATGGCTGTGGCCTCTACCATCCCCTCCAGGATGACCACAATCTCAAAGTCGTCTGTCTCCAGGTCCTGCCGGCTGATGCCGAACAGCGGGCTGGCCTCGTCGATCTCATGCAGGATGGTGATGGGCGACACCAAGAAGATGCGATCGAGGCCCTTGTCAAAGCCCACGTCAATGTCGATCTGGTCCAGCGGGATGTACTCGCCCTCTTCCGTGACCCTTGGCTTGATGAGCTGAGCCCTCACATGGGCCTCCACAATGTGGCTCTTTCGCAGGTTGCCCACACGCCACATGAGGCAAAGCCTGCCGTCGCGCAGCGCCACCACAGCGTTGTGGCTGAACAACAGTGTCTGCGCCCGCTTCTTGGGCCTGGCCATCTTGGCCATGATGGCACCGATCATGAAGGAATCTATGATGCAGCCCACGATGGACTGTGCCACCACCATGAAGACAGCCACTGGGCACTCCTCTGTCACGCAGCGCAGCCCGTAGCCAATGGTGGTTTGCGTTTCAATGGAGAAGAGGAAGGCTGCCATGAAGCCATGGACCTGCAAGACACAGGGCGTGCGGCTGCGGTCCTCAGCCGGCTCCAGGTCTCCGTGGGCCACAGCAATGACCCAGAAAATGACACCAAACAGTAGCCAGGAGGCGAGGAAGGCCAGGGAGAAGATGAGCAGCATGTAGCGCCAGCGGATGTCCACACAGGTGGTGAACATGTCAGCCAAGTAGCGCTGCGACTTCTCATCCATGTTGGCGAACTCAATGTTGCACTGGCCATTCTTTTTGACAAAGCGGTTTCGGCACCTGCGCCGCGTGTGAACCTTGCCATTGCCAAAGCCATTGGTGCCCGACATGGTGACCAGGTGCAGCCCGTCCTCCTCAGATGACACAACGCTATAGGGGTTGGCCCGGGTGGCTGCAGTCATCCCGGGGACAGGGCAGTCCTGGCTCCTTGCACCCAGGCCGGCTCCAGGTGGGTTGGCTCCTGCAATAGACAGGACAGTAGATGTCCCACACTGGCCCATGAATTCCCCTACCCAGGGCCCCCAGACATAGCTGGCTGACGTTTTGACCCTAATTTACCCACAACAAAGACCCTGATCTTCCCTCCTACCTTAGGCGAGATCCTCACCCTCCCTCTCAGTCTGGAAAGCGGCCACTCCAAGCTCCTAGTGCCTCCAGCCAAAACCTTGGATTCATGCTCAGCTTCTCCTACTCGCACACCAAGGGCTCTGCTTTCAAAACATATTTAGGATCCACCCCGTTCTTTACCCCTCACGGCCCGAGTCCCCATCAACATGCACCTGGACCAGCATGGCAGCCACCTCACCAACCTCCACGCTCCCGCCCAACCCCAGTCGGGCAGCAGCCAGAGGGAGCCTGTCCATCATCTGCTCAAAGCCAGAGTCCCACTGGCACCTGCAAGGCTTGCATAAGCAGAGCCTGCGACCCCTCAGATCTCACTTCCCAGCCTCCACCTCGCTTCTCCTGCTGCCTCCTCGCTGCTCCTTAAACCCACCTGGACCCTCTCCTCCCAGGCATTTCCCACCATCTCTCTCTTCTAGGCTTTGGCTCTAATGCCACAGGAACATCTCCAGAGGCTTTCTCTGTGCTCTCAGAGGAGTGTACACCCCACTCAGGTCCCCAATGTAACCCCACAGTCCTGACCTCTGGCCTAATAATGGCAGTAATAATAACAGCAATGATATGCACATGGTTGCCCTTGGCTGCCATCCCTCTCATGAGACCATCGGCTACCTGAGCACGTGGAGTCTGCTATTTCATTCACTGTTAACTCACCCTTCAGGTCCTAGAAAAGGTCTTGTTTCCAAGGACACCCCAAGCTAGGCCCCACCCATCCTCCTGACACTCATATACTCCACCCCAGGAACCCACTCTCAAAACCCACATGCCACACCCTCTGCTTCCTTGTCACGATCAGTAGCTAGGAGGGACCCCTAAGTCAGTGCCCAGAGGGATCACTAACTGGTTGACCTCATCCCACCCCCACCTTCCTCACCTCTAAACAAGAGCATATGGGAAGCACTAAGAAGAGTCACCATCCTCCCCCCACCCAGAGGAACACTGCCATGACACTCACACACTGACAGTCTCAGGGCCAGCCCCATAGCACCACAGCCACACCAGACAGACACTGCTCCCCAGCCGGCAGTACTTGTCCAGCCCCTAGACACACATGCCAGTGGCCACCCCTCCCCCAATGCCCTGCTGGCTCCAGGCAGGCCTGTTGGTGCCAGGCTGAGGCATCTGCAGGCTGGGAGCCATGGCACCACCTGGCCCTGTGGGCACTGAGGCCATCTGGCCATTAGCACTGGGGCTGCGGGTACTCAGGACTTCATCCTGTCTCAGCAGGACTGCACAGGGAGATGAGAAGCTGGGCACACTCCTTCCCACAAGAAGGACCTCACCCACACTCCCCACCTGGTTGCACTATGAGGTCAGAGCTAGACAAGGCTGGGAGCCCTGAAGTGCCCAGAAGACAATGAGGCCCTAGAGGAGAAGGTCCCAAGAAAACCGGGCCAGGAGCAGGGAAGCAGGTGGCTGGACACCCCTAGAGGCTCAGAAGCTGAAGTGACATAACTAGGAGGTGGCAACGCTGGGGTTCAGCCCTGGTCTGTGTGACCAGGCGCAGCCAGAGCCTCAGAGAGGGCACAACCTCTGACCTCTGCTCCAAACATCTAGGAGACAGGTAAGAGTGGAGCCCTCAGGCTGCAAGGCAGCAAACCCGCCCCTGCCCCCCGCCCCCCACAAGGATCTGTCTAGGGCGCTAGGTGCTGCTGGATCCCCAGAGCTGGCACATACATGACGCTCACACAGTGCTTACTGCCCGAGTGAACCAGCTCCTCCAACCACAGGCAGAGCAGGCCAGACACATCAGCCAATGCTCTCAGGTCATTCAGAAAACAGCTCAAGGGGCGGCCACCACCTGTACTTTACTCTCTGAATGATGATTCAGAGAGGTAAAGTGACTTCCCCAAAGCCACACAACCGATAAGCAGGAGAGCTGAGATCAGAACCACTTTTGCCTGATGCAAGGTGTCCCGTCACGGGCCCAGGCTCTGCGGGGCCTCTCCTCAGGCTGCAGTCCTCCCCCGACAGCTGCTCCCCCGCCACCTCCCCATGGGCTTGAGGGGCTGAGGCCGGAGGCCACAATGGCGGATGCTGCCCCTGTCTGGACCATGAGGCAGGGAGCCAGGGCTCCCTGTGTCAGGAAGACAGCTCAGCCTCAGATTCCTGGACACTCCAGGGGAAGGCACCAGGGTCAGGGTACACAGATGCCAGCAGGAGGCTGCCAGATTGCTGGGGGTGGGTTTGTGTGGCCTGGAGACCTTGAAGGATGCCCAACGGGCCATGGCTACTCCAGCTGGGGCTCCAAGCAGCTCAAGGCCTGCATGGGACAGAACTGCAAGAATCAAGGCCAGGGAGCCCATCTGGGCACACTGCTCTTGGCAGCTGAGCAGTCTCACACCTGGCCAGCTCCCAGGCAGGTGGGGCTGCTTCAGTGACTCTTGTCATCTCTTCAAGGATGGGAACCTAGGACCCATCCAGACTATGTCACACAGGCCTGGGAACCCCCTCATCCATTGACATTTGTCCTAAAACCACATAGAGAAAGGAAACAAGGTCATGCTCATATTTGCTCCCCTTTTCTCAGAGCTGGAAACTGAGACTTGGAGCCAAGTCTCTTGTCCAGAGTCACCCAGAAACTGAAGAACAGACAGAGTGGAAGCCTTGAGTCTAGTCCAGTCCTCAGCCTCTCTTGCCCTCATTGTGCTGTGTGTGTGTGTGAGTGTGCACGCACGTGTGTATGAGACGCTCAGGGTGTGAGGACCTCACAGGCTCTTGGTAAACACAGTACCATAAAAAAAGCCCTAGAAGAGGACCTATGAGTAGAGACCCGAGCACCACAAACTTGCCAAACATCCCAAGGACACTCCTCACACACAAACACAGGCTTGGCAAGAAGATTGTGCAGCTCTGTGGTCTTTAAAGGACTTGATTTAAGAAATGCGGGTCGATATCCTCCACCAGGATGTGCAGGCCTGTTTGGCGCTTGCTGAATGGGTGCACATGGTTAAATCAGATAAAAAAATGGAATTATATTTGTTTTGCTGAAAGAGGGCTTAGCAAGCAAGGATGCAAGCTCCCCATTTTATAGATGGGAAAACTGAGGCTGAGACTCATCCCAGGTCACAAAGCAACTTATGGGCTGGGATGAGATGGTAAAGACAATAGAACCATTGTCAGCAGATGCCCAGGTTGGCCAGTGAGGGTCCTGGGCATTGCTGAGAGAAAATGGGAGACACTGGGGTTCAATACCTGAATCAGAAAAAGGTAGGATGACTTCCACACCAGAGACAGCAGCAAAGCAAGCCTAGCAGGCAGAGAGTGGGCAGTGGAGAGCACCTGAGAGATGATGGAGCTAACCCTGCCGGCCCCAGCAGCTGTGGACAGCTGCCCAACACCCAGCATGCTCAGAACACTGGTCAGGCCTGGAGTGGGATCTTAGAGAGGCAGCTGCCACAGGACCCATGGGAGGGGACCAAAAGTCACTTGGAAGGGCCTCTGAACAGAGCAGGACACTTCATGCCCAGTCCCCCGAGGTTCTGGATACCTCAGGTTTCAATGACATCCAGGAGAAGTCCAGGGCAAGGCCTGGGTCCACATTCTCAGACGCCAAGAAAGCAGAGACTATAAGGGCCAATGGAGGAGGCCCAAAGGGGCAGGCTCAAGATTCCCCACCCTCAGGGGCCTCTCAGCTGGCCCCTTCAGGGGTATAAGCATAGTAATCAATACTTATTATCTACCAGGCACTGTTCTAAGAGCTCTAATCCCTACAACATTATGACCATACCCCATTTTCCAGATGAGGATACTGAAGCTCAGAAAGATTAGGACACTTGCCCAGGGTCACACAGCCTTCAAGTGGTGAGCTCCCAGTCTGAGGGTGGGAGAGAAACCAACCCTACCGGTCCTCAATCCCACGTGGTGATAAAACATACAGACAGCCCGAATCTCCGCACTCACGACTTTAAGTCCAACAATTGGAGGAATCCTTAGAGATCACTTAGTTTGGGAAAGCCAGAATGTGGCTTACACACACCTCTTTAGCCTGTGCCCGTGGCACACATCACTAATCCATGATGGAACTTTTCCTCACTGTGTCCTGGAATAGCTTCAGAATCTTTCTTAATCCATTCACTACGTAGCAGACTTAGCCCAAGAGCTTCACAAATCCAATCTTTCACTTGCAGACAGGGAGACTGAGGCTGAGAGAGGCTCCCTTGCTCAGTCACACAAGAAGTAAGAGGCAGGCAGGCCTGAGGGTGTACCACAGCAAGGCAGGGTAGCTCAGCAGTGATAGGCACCAAGAGCTGAGAGTGCAGAGGAAGGGGAAGGGGTATCCTGGTAGGAGCACTGTGGAGCAACGAGCAAGAGGAGGACATGCTGGCATACCCCGGGGGGCTGGCCAGTGAGGAGGCTGGCTTGGGGACAGCCAAGAGTTGGGATGGAGGGGAGGTAGAAGGTTGGAAGGGGGACCATTTCCTTTCTCACAATCTGGGAGATGACGAGCTCTTGCGCAGAATCACCTTTGCAGGCCAAATTCCCACCCCCTCTGCCAATGCACAGACAAGCCTCTGCCTACAGTGCATGTCCTGCAAACGTGTGGGGTTAACACAATACAGGCTTTCTGTGTCAAGGTCTTGCTCAGCCCAAGGAGAGAAAGAGCAACCATATGTTGATATATGCTAGGGATAGGGGTGGTCAATGTTCCGCCCATTCCCCAGACCCTCACCATTCTGCCCAATATCCAACAACCAGCACCAGCGTTTTTGCCCAGTAGCTCTGGGGCAGGCTAGGGAATGAATGCCTAGAGCAGCCTTCCATCAGTGATTGACAGGGAAGCTCCCTGCCTCCACTGGCACACA